TCATCGCACACTGCTCAACGCTCATTGCCCTATATCCCACCCAGCCGCAGGACTCCACTGCCGCCCGCGCCCCGCCCCATCTGGCCGCTTGCGCGCCCCATCCCCCCTCGATGGGGCCCGCCCACACCGGGGCCTCCCCCCTCCCGCCCACTGCTTTCTCAACGGCCCCGAGCCGGGGCTGCCCTCATTGCATACATAGTGCGCCTTTCCCTGCTTTTCTAGTGACCTAGCGTTCCGCACTGCCGTTTGGCCAGCCCATGCTCCCGTACCGTTGCGTTTCTCCCCAATGCGCCATGCCACTTTGCCAGTCATACACACGTTTCGATGCGTGCCCTGTCAGCTGCTTGCGTTGCATGTCGCCTTGCTCCACCCCTGTTTTATTGCTTTCTCTGCTTTCGCCCGGTTCCCGTCCCGTTTCGGCGGGGAGTCTATGTTGCAAGCTAGTTCTTGCTTTACCAGACTTTAAGCCCACACAAGCACAAGCAAGTGGGCGTCCTGGCAGTAAAAGCGACAATGTGGACATTGCCGCAATGCCCAGCGGCTGGGTGTAATTGCGAGTCGGTTGTGTGTATCTATTCACCATGGCCCGAACGGGCTCGGGGTGTGGGCCCAACCCAGCAGTGCGTTTGATGAGCAGTCTGATGAAGGCCAAAACGCATCTGCAGCCAATGCATGCTATTTCTGTCTTAGATCCGGGCAGGCCGCCTGTCACGTAGTGCCGGGCATTTGAGAGAGATGAGCCAAGAAGGTGCTGACGTGCACGTGGCGGCCATGGCATGCAGTTGCAAAACTCTGGTTGCATAGCGAATGGCGAGGAGGAAGGCCAGTAGCGTAGCTGGCAGATGAACGCAGTGTGAGTTGCTATCCCCACTGCGCCGCCGCCAGCGCGCTGCTGATGGGCCGCCGCAGCGCCTGGCGCGCCGCCAGCGCCGCGGTGCGCGGCCGCCCCGCCAGGGGGCTGCCCATCCTGCCGCCGGTGCCGGGGCGCTTGCCGGGGGAGCCGTAGGAGGCATCTGCCACCCCAGAGTACGAGAAGTAGACGTTAGAGAGGGCGTCGGAGGCGCCATGCAGTACGCCGGCGCCCAGCGCGCCAAACCCGCCGTCCCCCTCCTCCGGCGGGGCCCTGCCGCCGCTGCCCGCGCGGAGGCAGCTGGCGGCCGCGCCGCTGCTGCAGGAGGAGACGGAGGAGGCCTCGCTGCCGGGCAGGCTGGCGTCGCCCTCGCGCCGGGCCCTGCACCAGGGGCAGCACGCCGCGGGGTCGACATAGCGCACGAGCGGCCTCCTGGCGACTGAACAGGCAACCCTGGAACTGGCCCCCCAAGCCCCTCAAGCCCGCCTGCGACACACACACGCACAATACACACACACACACACCACACCTGACCAGGTTGCCGGCCCTCTCGATGTGGTCCAGTGCCCAGCGCTGCGCCCCCTCCTCCCACCGGCACCGCGACATGATCAGCTGCTGGTACTCTGGCGGGATGTAGGCGCCGATCACCAGGTCCTGCAGGGAGGCAGGCGGCCAGGCAGGTGGAGGCGGCGCCAGGGTGCCTGCGTGCGCATGGTGGTGCGCGTGACTGTGGTGGTGGGGTGGTGAGCAGGCGAGCAGGGCAGGTGGGAGCGCCAGGGCGGCCAACCAGCTGCAAGCTGCACGGCAGCGGCCGCTGCGGCTGGCCGGCGCCCCGGTGCGTGCTGCCTGCCTTCTGCTTGGCCTGCACGCTCAGCCGCCGCAGGTCGTCCAGCAGGCGCTCCCGCTCCGCCTGGCACTCTGCCGCCAGGGAGGCCGCCTCCTGGCGCGCCGCCGCCGCCGCAGCGGTGAGGCGCTGCAGGCGCGCCCGCTTGGCCGCAACCTCCTCCTGCGCAGCAACAGCAGGGCAAGGGCCACCAAGGAGAGGCACCCATCACTCGCAGCGTGGGGGTGGGGGACGGCCATCGGTTTACCACTGTCGGAGGGCAGCGGAGCTTGTGTGCGCGTGACCACAGCGTGTGTGGGCGAGGGCACGGCGGCTGTACCACCTGCACGCTGCTGTACCGCCCCTGGCGGCTGTAACACCTGCACGCTGCTGTACCGCCCCTCCAGCGCGCTCGCCGCCTGCTCCAGCTCCGCCAGGCGCGCCTCCCGCGCCGCCGCCGCCGCCCGCTGCTGCGCCAGCACCGCCTGCTGCGCCGCCGCCGCCGCCTCCAGCTCCTCCACCTTGTCCAGCAGGTTGGTGCCGCTGCGCAGCACCTGCGGCACGCGGAGCCACAAGGGGGGTGGACAGGGAGGGCGGAGGGGGGTGGGTGTCGGGCAGGAGAGGAAGGGCGCGTGCAGCTGGCGCACGCCCGGCGGAGGCGCAGGCTGTGGTGGACAGCTGCTGCTCAGCTGCCACCCCTTTGCCCTGCTTGCCCCCCACTTGGGCCTCGCCCCCTGCCCCTCCCTGCCGCCCTCCTCGCCTTGCTCTCCATGGCCTGAATGCGCTGCTCCAGCAGCAGCCGCTCCTGCTGCTCCCGCTCCACCTCAGCAGCGTACGCCTGCAGCTCCGCCTGCTGCGCCGCCAGCACCGCCGCCGCGTGCTGCTGCTCCTCCAGGCTGGCCGCAGCCTTGCTGGCCAGCTCAGCCTCCAGGCGCTGCCTGCAGCAGGGGGCGGCGGCAGCCAGCAGCTGGCCATGGCGAGTTGGCCGACTGATCTCTCGCCGGCGAAATAAAGCACACAGCCACGCCTCCAGCCTCTGAAGCTGGTGGCAGGCACGCAGGGCACGGCACCCCATGCAAGCCTGCTCTGCTGGCGCACCTGGCCTCCTGCTCGATGGCCTGCCGCGCCTTTGCCACAGCCTCCACCGTCACCGCCTGGCGCAGCTGGCGCTCCAGGTCGGCACGCACCGCCTGCCGGATGGCGGCCGCGCGCGCGTCCACCGCCGCGCCGCCGCCGCCGCCGCCGCCGAGCGCCGGCGCCTTGTCGGGGCTGGCGCCGCGCGACGGCCCCGCGCTGCCCGCCCGCTGCTGCTGACGCTGCGCCAGCTCAGCCTTGAGGCGGGCGATCTCGGCCTGGAACTCACGCAGCATGGCATCCTGCGGGGCGCAGCGCAGCATGCATGGCGTGGCACGGCACGGCACAGCACAGCACGACGGTGTTCGCCGCACCTCTCTCCCTGGCTGCCCGCATGCATGCACACACACCTCTCTGCCCACCTCCTGCACCCACCCACACCCACCACGGCTGCAGCAGCCCGCCCCCAGCCCCCACCTTGGGGTCCTCATTAATCTTGGGCTTGTTCTTGATGAACTTGGCGCGAGAGGCGTAGCGCAGCGTGCTCAGCGTCTCCTCAAAGTTGTAGACTGCGCAGAGGGGCAGGCGCAGGGGCAGGAGGGGGAGGAGGTGCCGTGGGGTGGGGCGCTTGGGTGTGGCTGCCGCCGGCGAGTGCCGTGGCGCAGGGCAGCGGCGCTCGGCCACGATCAGCTGTGGGAGGTTGCACCCCATCCCTGCCCAATGCTGTGCTGCAGGGAGAGGGCCCACCCGCGGGTCCCACGTTGGCAATCATGACCGTCTTGGAGTTGCCGCCCAGGCTGTCCTGCACAGCGCAGCACCGGGAGGGGTAGCGGTGGAGCGCCCCCTCGTGCGAATCGCAACTGGCGCAAGTAGGGGCTCGGAGCAGGCACGGCACCAGCAGTGGCCCGCCGAGCAGGCCCCAGCCCCCGTGCTGCTGCAACCGCCGTGCCGCGCCCCGCCCCGCCCTGTCCCGGCCCCGCCCTGCCCCACACCGCACAGCTGCCAGGCCCCACCTGCAGCAGGCGCGTGAGCTTGGAGTCTCGGTAGGGCACGTGGGAGGCGGCGGCGTCGGTGAGGGCAGATATGACGTTGCCCAGAGCGCTGAGGCTCAGGTTGATGCGGCTGGCCTCCTTCAGCCGCTCCCCCGTGGCCCCCGTCTTGGCCTGCCGCTCGCTGCCGGCAAGGTCCACCAGATTGAGCTTGCCCACACGGATGCCGCTGCCGGCCTGCGGGGAGGCAGGCACGCCGCCGCCGCCGCCGCCGCCGCCCTCCACAGCGCCGCCGCCCTTGGCCGGGCTGGCGCCAGCCAGCCGCCCCGAGACAGGCCTGCTGGCGGAGCCGCCGCCTGGGCCGCCTGGGCCGCCTGCGCCTGCGCCGCCGCCGCTGCCGGCTGCATCCTGCTGCTTGCCCAGCGTCTCCACCACGACGGTGAAGATGGAGTGTGAGCGTGAGGAGTCCTGGTTCATGAGCGTAGCGCCCACCGTACGGTTCTTGCTCCCCACCTGCGCCGCTGGCTCGGCATGGCCGGATCACTCGGCTGTGCGCAACCATCCAGGGCAGGCAGGCCTCACGCACCATGGGTTGGTGCAGCGGCGAGGGCGCTGAGGGAGCAGCGAGGGGTGGCTGGGGTGCAGCCCAAGCCGGTCACCAGCTGTCGCCAGCCGCCGCCCTTGCACCACCACCCCCACCCTTCCCCTCCCACGCAGGCCCAGCCACCCGCCCACCCAAACGCCCGCCCACCTCCAGCACCGCCGCCATCTCCGCCGCGCTCTTCACCACAAACTCCTTGAGCCCCCGCACGTGGAAGCCCTTATCGGGCGTCTCCCGCAGCTCCAGCCGCGCCTTGGCATCCCGGCTCAGCAGGTCCCGCACCTCCTCGTTGTAGATCTCCAGGTGGCTCACGCGCACCAAAACGTCGCGCCCGCCCGCGCCTGCGGGTGGCGCGGCAAGGGGGATATAGAGGCAAGCATCCGAGAGCAGGGGGGGGTGCAGGGCGGGTGGCGGTGGTGGCATGCGGATGCAGGCTGACGGGCTGGCGGGGTGGCTGGCGGGGGAGCCAGGACGCGTGAGGCGGGCATGCTGCTGGGCAGCGTCTGCTTAGGGCATGGTTGGCGGCAATACGCTCCAGGTGGCGGCACGCGATCAGCACCCGCCTTTCTCAATCTCGTTGAAGATGTGGTCAAAGGCGCGGGGGATGATGCCACGCCCCTCTGCCGGCGGCTCCCGGCCCTCCATGGTGTGCGTCTTGCCGCACCCCGTCTGGCCGTAGGCAAAGACGGTGGCGTTGAAGCCCTGCAGCACCGCCTCCACCAGCGGCGCCCCCGCCGCCGCATACACATCCTCCTGCCGCGACTCGGGCCCAAAGGCCTGCAGTAGGTGGGAGCGCATGCATGCATTCCACATGTGGCAGCTGGCGCTATGGACCACGGTACCTGAGCAACAGCAAAGCCGACACGCCAGCCAAGGCCAATGCTCCTGCCCAGCGCCAGTGCCGCCGCCGCCGCCATCGCACCTGGTCAAAGGCAAAGGACTTCTCCTCCGCCGCGCTCCGAATCTGCGCATTGGTGGCCGATTGGAGTGTGTCATATGCGGCTTGCGCACGCCCTTGCGCAGCGTTTTGGACCACTTACCGAGACTTGCCCATCGCGACTGTCTACCTGCACCACCTGCTGCCGCCCGTCCCGGACCTCCTTGTCGCTGAGAGGCCGGCATCTCACAATGACCTGCAGCAAATGTTGCCCAAGGCTGGCTGAGGCATAGCCGTGCGAGCCTGCGCCTCCGTCGTCGGCCCCACCCACCTTCACAGTTTCCTTGTCCGACATGGTGGCAATAGCGGGGTGGAGGGTGAGCGCAGGAGGACCTCACCTGCTTCCCCGCCACGCAGGCGCCACCAAGGCGGTGCGGTGCCTCGCCGCCTTCCACCTCACCCCTCCGCTCAACCTGCCTGCAAACGGGGCTTTGTCAGCCGTGTGGGTTACATATAGACAGTAGCTGGTGCGGGGACCCCGCATCGTCAAAGGCGCGCTGTCAGCACCAACGTTGGCAGGGAAACGGGGACACGCATGCAAATGAAAGGGGAGGCTGTGATGAGGTGATGAGATGAGAGGGAAGCAGAGGACAGGAGTAGGTTGAGGATGACGAGAGATGGGCCCTTGGCTGGGTGCAGCAGGCTTGCAGAGGAAGCACAACAAAGGGAGCCTGCACCTTGCAGTGGCGGTGGTCAGGAAGCTGATCTAAGGGCGATGCGCGGCTGGCAAGACGTTGGTTGCACGTCGCAATGATACAGTACCGCCTAAGCCGGGAGCCAATTGGCAGCGTTGCGTAGAAGAGCGCAAGGAATGAGGGTTGAGCGCTGCTCTTCCCAGTACTAGTAGCTGCGGCGAGCACTGGATCGCCTCACCCCCACCAGCGGGATGTACGCTGCGCAGGGCAGGGCCTGCTGCTTCGAAGGCGGGCAGCGCAGCGTGCACTTCTTGAGGGTGCACAGGGTGCAGTACGGTGTGAGCGGGTACTGGTCCTTGCAGGAGTTGCACGTGGCCCCGTTCCACACAAAGCCGGGGTTGCCTGCGTGAGGGCAAGGGAAAGGCGGGCAGGCAGGGGTGCCACCCGGGCATGTCAAGAGGGCAGGGCACTGCACGACAAGGCCCGAGGGCACGAGGTGGCTGGAGCTCACACCGGCGCAGCAGCCGGGCAGCCTTGCCGGACGGTTGATTGCGGATGCTGGCAGCGGCCATGCAGGCCATGCACCCGCTCCCTTGCACGTGGCAGGCCCAGGCTCACAGCTGGGCGGTGGCGGCGGCCGAGGGGATGGCGGCGGCCTGGGGGAAGGCGGCGGCTTCGGCGAGGGCTTGGGGGGCTTGGGGGAGGGCGGCGGCTTCGGCGACGGCTTGGGGGGTCTCGGCGAGGGCGGCGGCGGCCTTGGGGGCTTGGGCTTTGGCGGCGGCGGGCGCTGTTTCGTCTGCACTATTGTGCGCGGGCTGGGCGGCGGCCTGGGAGGAGGCGGTGGTCGTGTCTTGGTGTTGGGGAGCACCCTTGGCGATGGCGGTGGCTGCAGCAAGGTGCGGCACAAAGAGAGGGGTCACAGGCGTGAGGAGGACGGGGCAGAGGTATGCACAGGTCAGGTGCCTGCGCCGCTGCCCTGCCACCACCGCGCCTGCCGGCCACCCTGCCAGCCCCGATCGCGCAGGGGTCTCTGCACGCAGCGCTCCAGCCCAGGCGGCGCGGGCGGACCGCCGGCGCGCTCACCCTGGGCGCGGGCGGCGGCGAGGGCGAGGGCGGCGGCCGCGGCGGCTCCACGCCGCACATGCCGGGCGGCAGCCAGGGCCAGTCGTCGTCATCAGAGTAGTATGCTGCCAGGGCGTTGTAGGCGTTGAGGCGGCAGCCACCCCCCACCACCTGCTGGCTGCTGTCCAGCAGGTTGCGGGACAGGGCCTGGACCGAGTCGCATCCCTCCAGCAGCGCCACCCGAACCTCTACCATGTCCTCCGCCGCCCAGTTCCAGGTGCGCGCCAGGATGAGCCCCGCCGCGCCGCCCACCAGTGCGGTGGCCACAGACGTGCCGCTGACCTGCTTGTACGTGGCTGCAGGGGTGGGCAGGGGCGCGCAGGGGGGCGGGGCGGGCAGGTCAGCATGCGCAGGGGAGCGGAGCGGGGGGAGCGGGCCAGCCTCCCTCCTCTCCCCCGCCGCCAGGCACAGCTGCCTGTGTTGTGCTCCTTCTGCGCGCATGCCGGGGGCAAAGGGCCGCGCGGGGCTCACCCAGCCCGTCGGCCGCCTCCGCCGCGGTGCGCAGGCGCGTGGTCCACACCAGGCGGCCGGGTGCCATGATGTCCACCCAGCGCGACCCATAGTTGCTGCCCACCCCCTCCACCGGCGCGGAGCAGGTGTCGCCTGTGGCGCTGCCGCCGCCCTCCCTCCACACGTCGTCCGTCTCGTCTGCAGGCCCCAGGGCAGCGGCGGCAGCGTCATCCGAGCTCAGGACAGCAGGCGCAGCGCGCAGCGCAGCACATGCCCCGCCTGCCTCCGCGCTTCTCCCATCCGCATCTCTAGCACCCACTCTCCCTCCACCTCCTCCACACCTCCACACACACACCTCCACACACACACACACACACGCCTGCAGCCCCACCTGTGGCCCCCACCACCACCATGTTGCCCAGCTTCAGCTGCGCGGGCATGAAGAAGAAGGAGCGGCAGTCCTTCTGCTCGCGCAGCTGGCGCCCATGGTTGCCCGCCGCAGTGACCAGCAGGTGGCGCTGCCCCTGCTGCTTCATCTCCTCCTGGAACTGCCAGTACAGGGCGCCCACGGTGTCCGGACCATCCCACTCCATGTCACCTAAGTTGGTGCCCCAGGCGGCGACTGCGGGGGCAGGGGCCACGTATGTTGTGTGTGGGAAGGGCGGGTGGGGAAAGGGGGTGGAGGGGCGGAGGGTGTGCGGAGGCGCAAACATCGGCGGCGGCGCGGCGGCTTCTGCTGCCGGCGAGGCCCGCCTGCTATTGCGAGGTGGTGGGCAGGCGAGGCAGGGCGCCGGCGGGCACGGCCGCTTCACCGCGCGTCAGCGCGGCAGGCATGGCAGCCAGGCCGGGCGCCGCGGCGGTGCTGCGCTGCCGGCGCGCAGGGCACCGACGGCAGCAGGCCGGCAGCGGCTGCGGCTGGCGGGCTCACTTGACAGTGCGACGTTCTTCGAGATGCACCACCTGAGGCACTGCAGCGCGTTGCTGATGTAGCCCACGCCGTCTCCATCCATGAACTTGCACACATACAATGCGGACTGGGGAGGGAGGGGCGCGGCGGGTGGCAATGTGGGTGTGTGGGCGATGCGCGGCGGCGTGCATTGCAGTGGTGGCACGCAAGAAACGCGTGGGTGAGTCTGGGGGGGCTGCGCGTGGCAGAGGAGGACGAGGACACAGCGAGCGCTCGGCCTGCCAGCAGCGGCGGCGGCGGCGGCGGCGGCGCCTCACCCCCTTGTACAGCATGCCCGCCATGCCCTTGTCGTTGGCGGCAGCGGCCACCAGGCCCGCCATGTACGTGCCGTGCCCGCTCTCGTCCTGCGCGTACTGCAGGCCCAGCTGGGGTGCCCTGTTGTGCACAAACGCGGCGCCGTCTGCGCACATGGGCTTCAGCTCGGGGTGCTCGCAGTCCACGCCCGAGTCTGCAGCGGGGCAGCGACGGGGCAGGGCGGGCGGCAGGGCGGAGGCGGGAGGTGGGTGGTGGGAGGTGGCGGCGACCGCGGGCTGCAAGATGTGGCCTGCCGGGTGCTGGCTGCTGTGAGGCACACCCCGCCATGCTGCGCAGGCGGGCTGGGTTGCCGGCCGGACGGCGGCGAGGGCGTGGATGCAGGCTTGGCGCCATGCGAGCGCGCCGCTGCGGCCAGCAGCAGCAGCTGGCCCGGCCGCAGGCGTCGTGCCCCCGCTGCTCACCAATGATGCAGACCCGCGTCTCGTCTCCGTCCTTGCTGGGGGCAGTGTCCACGGAGCGGCCGCCCACGCCGCGGCCCCACACATACCCCACCGACGTCTTCACCATCGCCCAGCTCTCATCCCACTTCTTGTTGCCCGTGGGTGCGTAGTAGGGGAAGGGCGAGGCGGCGGAGGTGTCGGATGCTGCCACCCCATCATCGCCGCTTGCGTCCTGGGCAAATGCCCACAGCTCGGGCGCGGCAGACAGCACGCCTGCGGGGGCGCGGCACGGCGGGAGCAGGTTGGCGGGCGCAGGGGCGGCTGCGGGGTGCTTGTTTAGGAGGACGCGGGGGAGGGAGCTGCGGGGCTGTGTGGCGCATAAGGAGGCCGCGGCGTGCATGGGCAGGCACCACAAGATGAGTGCTGAGTAGGAGCACTCACCCGCACCAGGCAGACCTGTGTAGGCCTGCCTGGTGCGGGAGGCGGGCTGCACGGCAGGCGGGGGCCCTGCCGCCGGCCCTGCTGCACACGGCGAGCCCCTCGGCTGCAGCCACACACCTGGGACCTTCCTGTAGCGTGCGGCGGCGGCCTCTGGGGTCTCGCCGGGCCGCAAGGGGAGGTTGCCGGCGGCACCGTCGCCGGTTGCGAGCGGTACTACCCTGGCTGCCACGTACTGGGACTCTGCCGACGCAGCCGAGGCAGCGGCCACGCCCTGGCTGGCCTGAATGTTGTATGTGACATACACCGTGTCGGCGACTGGGTTGGTCAGGCGCGGGTCCTGGGCCGCCACCTGCAGCTGGGCCGGAAGGTGGGGCGGCAGCAGGCGGCTACGTCGACGGGGCGCATGGCCAGGGAGGCCCGACACCCGGCGGGCGGGGGCCGGGGCGGCATGCAGGGGCCTGCAGGCTGCATGGCAGGCCTCCCAGGGGTGGCACACGCACCCTGCAGGCGATGGAGAGGACCGCCACGCTGGCCACAACGCGCGGCCACGCCCCAGGGCTCCTCCACACGTCCCCAGCTCTAGGCATAGAGTTAGGAGCCGGAATTCAGGTGCTGGCTTGGGGTGCCGGGCTCATTCTCGAGGCTCGCTGCCCTGTGCACACCGCCCTGGACTCCGGGCGCCTCGGTGGCGATACGACACTATTGCGCAGAGTAGCAAGAGGATAGCAAGCCAAATTGGGGCGGGAGCGCTAAGGGCCAGCGGGCAGCTGCCTCTTTCGACGGTGCGCTCTTGGGGCCTAGATCAGGGACAGTGCGAGGCTGGTCGAGTTGGGTTTCAGCCCTGCAGTCCCCCGTCCCGCAGAAGCTGCGCAAGTCGTGCTGCGAGTGCGGTGGCGCTGTGCACAAGAGCACCACATTGCCTCCCAGAGTGCATCCTGCATCGTGGACGCGTGGAGGAAGAGGGCAGAGAGTGCTGGAAGCCTGCGCCCCGGTGCCTGCAATCACTAAAGGTCCCAGCTTGCTAACAGACCCGGTAGCCACCCCCTGTAGCCACCTATGAACAAGCTGGAGGAGCAAGCAAGCGCAAAGGTGCGATGGAGTGTGTCTGCGCCCGGCGCCGCCGCCGCCGCCGCTTCCGGTGCCACACACGGTGGGCGGCAACAAGCCAACGCAACCCCACTTGGTGGAGCCATGAAATAACATGCACAAGTGCTGCGGGCTGAGCTGGACACCCCACCTCACCTGCAGGCCGAGCTCTCATACTCGTACTGGGCGAAGAATGAGGCGGACGAGGCTCCCCCGCCTCAGCCCAAGGCACGCAGGCCGCCGCCCAGCCGGCCGCCAACCAGCAGCTACAGCTACAGCAGGCAGCCACTCTGATCCACCGCTGGAGGAGGCGCAGTGTGTGCGCAGCCAGCGGTGCAGCCTGCCCACACGCTGCCGCAGAGAGCCGTGCCGTGCCCCCGCCCATGCGCCCTCCCTGCCGCACCCCCACCCACCCGCCCGCTTGCCCGCAGAAGCTCAGCGAGGCCGAGGCGGCAGCCCACCAGCAGCAGCTGAAGCACACAGAGAGCGGCGCGTCCGCCTGGAATGCTGCGGTGAGGCGCCTTCCCTCCATCAGGGGCCGGCCTCGCATCAGGGGCCTCCTGCCCTCACCCTTCCTCCCCCGCCCCCCGCCGCACCCAGGGCACTTTTGAGGAGCGGCCGGTGCCCATCGGCTGGGTGCGAGAGCAGCTGGAGCAGGTGCTGGCCGGCGTGCAGCACAGCCCGTGGCACGATGCGCAGCCCGGGCGGGCGGCGGCACGCGTGGCGGCGCTGGAGGTGGCCGCCTGCTCCGGCGAGGCGCACCAGTGGATTGTGAGGGGCAGGCGGCGCGCAAACTTTGAGCTCCAGATCGAGCTCAAGTGGCGGGTGGCGCTCGACGGGGTCGACGTGGCGGGCACCGCAAAGTGCGGCCCACGCTGGTGCATGCATGTGTTCCCGTCCTGCCCCTGCATGGCCTGGCCTGGCCTGGCCTTGCGCGATGCTGCGCCTGCTGTGCCGCCCTGAGGCCCGCTGCGCTGCCTGGCTGCCGGGGCCGCCCAGCGGGCCGGCGCCACCTCACCGGCTGCCCGCCTGCGCACGGAAAGCTGCACGCAAAGCTCAGCCTCCCGGCCCCCCGTCTGTATGCGTGCCGCAGGCTGCCCCATGCCGCCTCTGATGAGCTGGATGAGCTGCAGCTGGAGGTGGCGGCAGATGCGCAGGCTGCTGGCGGCGACGAGGAGGGCGCCTCTGCGCCCGCGCCCACGCAGGAGCAGCGGCAGGCAGCGGTTGCGGCGGCCCGGGGCATGCTGCCGCAGCTGGAGGCGGCGCTGGCGCAGTTGCTGGAGCGGGTGCGGGCCAAGTGACCTTGTGCTGGTGGCCACAAGGTGGTCACGCTTGTCACCTACCTTGTTGTTGAGAACTGGGCGCCAGCGATTGTGCTGCTGCCCTCCCCTACTTTCATGAAATGATGAGCACCCCCCAATTTGATTTGCGGCAAAGCGAGGCGCCGCCTGCTGCGCGGCATGTCTCAGCCCCTCCTGCCAGCGGTGCCGCTCCCAGGCCCACGCCACCCCCCCTCACACCCAGTTTTCAGCGCCCGCCCGCCATGGGGCTGTGCCTTCTCTCAGGATTCTTTTCATATTTTGCAGCCTGGCCAGCCAGCCTTCGCCTCAACTCTTACAAACGCAGCACGTGTCGGCAAAGGCAGCCTGAAAATGTATGGGCAATGAATCGATCGCCCCAGTGTGATACAATATGAATCGCAAAAATCGCAGCTCCAACACCAGCGCTAGCTATGCGGCAATGGAAGGCAGCGGTGTTTCCAGCTCTACAAAAATCGTCACCATGCAGAAAAACGTGGCGGCTGCCCGGGCGCTACGGCGGCAAGCAGCGGCCCTGCGCGGAGCTCTGTCTCGCCTGCGCGCCGCGCTGCCGGCCCCACCACCGCCTCCCGGGCAGGGCACCCACATCCCGCTGGCCCGCTCATACCTTGCTGTCGCCTGCCGCCTGCTGCGCCGCCGCCGCCACGCCGCGCCCGGCGCGCCCCAGCGCCTCTGCGGCCTTGGCGGGCAGCGCGGCCAGGCTGGCGGCGCTGCCGGCCAGCCCCCGCACATCCTCCAGAGCCTCCTCCACGCTGCCGTAGCTCAGCGCGCGGTTCACAAGCGTCAGCTCCAGCCCCAGCTGCGGCAGCGCGGCGGGGGGCGCGGGGAGCAGGAGGTGCAGGGTTCGGCAGCCATCATGCAGCGGAGCTCGCCACAGAGTCAGCCTTGCCGCCCGCCGCCGGCACCAACCGCTCTCCTCCCACCACCTGGTTGGCCTGGCTGCCCCCTTGGCTGGCACCCAGGCACTGGCGCGGCATGCGGCGGCGCTCCCAGCTGTGCCAGGCACCCCCCATGCCCCCTCTCTGCTGCCTGCCCCATGGCCCCCACCCCGCCCGCCCCCCAGGCAGCTGGCTCACCACTCCCAGGAACTGCAGCGTGGTGTGGAAGTTGGCGGCGACGTAGCCCAGGCCGCCCAGCGCCGCCGCCGCCACCGCCGCGTTCTTGGGCTCGCGCAGCGGCGACAGCTGGCTGGCGGCCTGCTCCGCGACTGCAGGGCAGGGCAGGACGGAGGCGGGCGGGGAGGGGTCGGTCGGTGCTGAGCAGCCGAGGCGGGGAGGGAGGAGGGGCGGCGGCCCGCGCCTGCCAGCCCGGCCGGCCCAGCTCGCATGCAGGCAACGACGGGCAGGCGGGCGCCCCGCCCCGCACCCTGCCTGCCAGCCTGTGCCGCCTGCCGGCCACCCCAGCCGACGCACACACGAGGCGTGCGTGCATGTGCCGCCGCGGTGCCACCCACCCACCTGTGCCCGCCACATCCTCCGCCACGTCCAGCGGAGAGGCCTCATACTCGGAGGCTGTGGAGCGAACCCCCAGCCCCGCCTCCTGCCAGGCCCGGAAGCCGCCAGCCAGCACATACGGCCGCCGCACGCCCGCCGCACGCAGCGCGCGAGCCACGCGCTTGGCGCCCTCGCCCTGCGCGCGGGGAGGCAGGCGGCGGGGGTGGCGGGGGTGGAAAGAGCGCCAGGCACGCGGCGGCGGGAGCCAGGGCACGCCTGCAACGCGGGCCCCAGCAAGCGGCTGGCCGGCTCCGCGCTCCTCTCCCCTGCCTGGCCTCCTCTCCTGCCCATATCAACACGCTGCCTCCACACACACACACACACACACTGCAGCAGCAGCAGCACCACCACACATGCTGTCCCCCACCACCTCCTCCTCCGTGCCCCTCCCCACCACGACCACCACCACCACCACCACCTCCTCCCTCCTTACCCCCCCTTTACCCCCCCCTCACCTTGTCGTCCATGACGATGACCTTGGTGGAGCGGGGCCGCACCTTGGCCAGCGCCGCCACCTCCAGCGCCTGAATCTCCAGCGCCACGCCGGCAGGGTCGCGCAGCCGCTTGGCCACGCTGGGCAGCAGCTGCGGAGGGGGGGCGGGCGGGCGGGGGGCAGGGGGGGCGTCAAGACGCGGCAGGAAGGGGGGCGGCAGCCGACCTTTGTTGCTCTTCTTATTGGCACGGCACTGCGCACGGCGCGTGCGCACTCGCACGGTCCACAAGGGCCAGTACAACAGTCGCTGCCTGCGCGCGGACGGCAGCGCCGCACCTGCACCGGCGGCACGGCGGCGCCCTTGCCCAGCGCGCCGCGCCGCAGCTCCGCCACCCCTCGCTCCACCCGCTGCTGCTCGGTGCGCACGTCCACCAGCACGGCGGCCTCTGTCTGCAGCACCTCCAGAGCCTCCTCGGGATCCAGGGCGCCGGCAAAGCCGCCGTAGGCCGCGCTCCAGGCCAGCGCGGCGGGCAGGCCGAGGCCCAGCCCCGCCGCCGCCGCCGCCGCGGCCGGGTCGAGACCCGACAGCTGCCGCAGCGCGCCCGCCGCCGCGCCGCCGGCCGCCAGCAGCACGTCGCCGGCGCCGGGGGGCAGCGCGGCCGCCGCCGCGTCCACCGCGCCAGACAGCTGGTCGGCCACGGCTGCCACCTGGCCGCCCACGGTGCTGGAGACTGCAGGGGGGTGCCGTGGCGGCGGGCAAGGGGGGGGGCCGTAAGGGAGCCGTAGTGTGAGGGTGGGTGGGACCTTGCAAGTACTGGGAGGCAAGGCAGGGGCTGCTGCGCATCCACGCTGCCTTGGAAACACTAGCATGCAAGCCACCAGGGGGCGGCTGTCCCGCCAGCGGCACACCGAGCCCGGCAAGCCGCCGCAGGCGGCAGGCGGCAAGGTGCGGCGCCCACCTGCGGAGGTGACGCCCCCCAGGGTGCTGGTCAGGCCCCCCACCAGCGACTCGTAGCTGGCCTGGAGGGCGGCAGCCTCGGAGCTCAGCTCGGCGGCGGCGCCATCCAGAAGCTGCTGGACAGAGGAGGCGGCGCCGCCGGCGGCCCCGCTCAGCCCGCCCGCCGCGCCGCTCAGCCCGCCCGCCGCCCCACTCAGCACGCTGCCGAACGCGTCGGTGGCCTGGCTGGCCGCGGCCGCCGCGTCGGCCGCGCCGGCGGCGGCGCCGGTCAGCGCGCCGGCCGCGCCGCCCAGCACGTCGCCCACGCTGTCGGCGGCGCTGGTCAGGCCCTTGCTGGCGGCCGCCCCCGCCTCGCCCAGGCCCTTGCCAGCAGACGCCAGCCCCTCGCCCAGGGTGTCGGCCAGCGGCGCCGCCGCCGCCTTGGCGGCCTTGGCGGCCGCCGCGCCGCTGTCGCCGTACCCCGGCGGCTTCTGCTGCAGCTGCTCCAGCACAAAGTCCATGCCCTGGGAGGGCGCGGGGGGCGGCTGCGGCGCGGGTGCGCCCTGCAGGATCTCAGTGCCGGGCACCGGGTCGACGGTGACGCCCGAGGCGGGGGCGGCAGCGTCGGGAAGCGCCGCCGCGGGCGCGGGCGCGGGCGCGGGCGGCGCCGCCGCCTTCTTCACCACCGGAGAGGACAGGGCGTCGCGGAAGAGGGAGCCCAGGTCGGCGGCCTCCTCGCTGGCTGCCGCGGCACGCAGCGGCATGGCGGCACGCCGGCCGCCGCCGCCGCCCAGCCGCCGGCGGGTGCCGGCCAGGCCGCCCTGCAGCGCGGCACCCGGTACATCGCGGTCAGGAACATGTGGGAACGCAATGTGAGCTGCTGGAGGGGCGCAACAGCGCAGGCATTCAAGCTCAGGCAGCAGCAAATCCAGGTCGCTCGCCTTGTTTGAGGCCAGGCGCTGCGCCTTGCTGAGGGCCGCAGGCTGCATGGCTGCTGGGTTGGAGCTCCTCTGCAGCGGCAAACGCGCGGAGGGGCAGGCCAGCGCGGGAACGTTGTAGGTGTTGCGGCTGCTGCCCTGCTGCAGGTGGCCGCGGCTCCAACAAAGCCTGCTGGGGAGCGTTGCACAAGTCAGAGCTCCCGGGCAGAGACAAGCACACCGATGAACCGATCATCCAGTCTCATCCAACTTTCCTCCTTGCCGCCGCCGATCACCCGGCAGGCTGCCTGTGCCGCTGGGAGGCCCTCTGGTGTGTGATGGGAGCATTACATGCCCTGTCGTGCATTGCTGGAACAGACTGAAAGAACATAAACTCGAACACAAGCAACTGGGTTTGGACTGGTTGACGGGCAACAAGCCCGCCCCCAAGCACCCAGCCGGCGCCAACTCAGTGCAGGCAACCTCAGCGCAGGCGATGCAAAATGTGATTGGGGCATCGGGGTGGTGCATTGGGGCCAGCGCTTGGCATGCCGCTACAGCTGGAGACCCGCTCGTGGCTGGAGGCAAGGTCCAGAGCTGCCATGCTGCCTGCTGCCGCGTCACTGCTTGGCCGTCTCGATCAGCTGCAGCAAACCCAGGGAACAAGTGGTTTGCATCATGATGCAGCTGACTGTGACGTCTGGGAAGCGCGCAGGTCTGCAAGCTGGCTCAACCCCTCGCCGCTGGCCCCACCCTTTCCCTTGCGCGCGGCACTACTGCCCAGCCCAACACCGGCGGCGCTCACCTGCCGCACCGGCGGCGGCGACTTGGGCGTGGGCGCGCCGTAGCCCATCGCCTCACGGATGGGGGGCACCACCAGGGGCAGGGCCAGGCCCACGCCGCCGATTATGAACGACCACACAATGATGGGCTCCTGCACGCGGCAAGGCGGCACCAGTGGCGTCGGGAGGGGGTTGGCCGAGCAGCCGCGCACAGCATGGACTAAACAGTTCACAGCTGACGCTACCTGGTGCATCATGGTGCGCAGCCAGCTCATCTTGGGCAGGTGGGGCGCGTCCCTCTGCGCTAGACGCTGCGACGGTCGGTCGGGGTGGGCGGTGAGCCTGCTACCTGTCCCTGCTGCTGCTGCGCTGCTGGCGTGCCTGCGCCGCTGCCACTGCCGACAGTAGACAGGCTGGAGAGCACGTGTGGAGCTGCGAGGTGCCCAGAATCGACGAGTGTGGCGACCCCTTGCACGACGGGCAGTTGCATGCACCCTTGGGGCCGGTCTGCGAACGATGATAAGCCAGCAGTGCCCACTGAGCCACAGCATGAAGCCCAGTTCAGGTACAAGCCCAAGTACACTTCTCGGCCCCTTGCCTTCCTGCACCTACCCCAGCAAGCCTATTCGCATGCACTTTACTAGCAAGGATTCAGGCTGCTGCGTGAGCTCACAGCGGTGCCTCAGCAGCCGTCAGTGCACATGTGTGTTCCACAGAAGCCTGATCACCGGGCCTAGCAATGGCCTCACAGGCTAAAACTCGTCTCCATTCTTACGTGGCCCAGCTTCAGGCCCGCCGGGCCGCCGCCCCCTCCAAACAGGAGGGCAGTGGTGGGGAGCCGGCGGCGGCGGCAGCACCGCCGACAGCGGGACCTGCCGATTCTTCAGAGCAGCAGCCTGAAGATGCCGCCCCTATCCCAGATGCTGTGGACACGAGTCCAAGGCAGGAGACAGTGATGCAGCCCGGCAGCAGCGGCGCCGTGCCGGCGGGCGCCTCGGAGCCCGCGCCAACGCAACCGCCACAGTCGGCGGCAGAGCAGGCACCCGAGCAGCCGGAGGAGCCCCAGCAAGCGGCTGCCGGCACAATCGATGTGGTGGACCTCACCGCAGAAGACAGCAACGAGGGCGACGGCGGCGGCGAGGCAGCACCCGTCGCTGCGGGTGCAAGCCATGATGAGGTGGCACCCGCTGCCCCTTCCGGCTCCATCAGCCCGCTGGCCGCCCTGCGCCAGTTTTTCGGCTTGGGGGGCACCAGCCAGCAGCAGCAGCAGCAGCAGCAGCAGCAGGCCCCGGCCCGGCCCACCCCTCTCTCCCAGGAGCAGGTTGCAGAGCAGGTGCTGCTGCAGGCAGCACAGCAGCAGGCACACCAGCAGCAGCAGCAGCAGCATGAACAGTGGCTGCACTACCAGCAGGCAGATGCGCAGGCTGAGCAGCAAGCGCAGCAAGCCCTGGCGCTGCACATGCATCGCACCCTGGAGCAGCAGCAGCAGCTGCAGCTCCTGCAGCAGCAGCGGCGCGGCGCCACAGTCACCACCGGCCACCCCGGCGGCGGCTGGGCACAGGGGCCGCCGCCGCAGCCCGGCTTCAACCCTTTGATGATGGCCCGCCCCCTGCCTCTGCAGCCGCAGCCGCAGCAGCAGGCCATGCCGCCAGGCTTCATTCCGCCCGACATCCAGGCCCGGCTGAACGCCTTCCCGCTGCCCGCCAAGCTGCAGCACCAGCTGGCCGAGTTCCAGCAGCGGCACGCCGCCCAGCAGGCGCAGCACGCGCTCGCGATGCAGCAGGTGCAGGCGCAGCAGCGCCAGCGCAGGCTGCCAGACCTGCTGGGCGGCGACCCAGGCGTGCGGGCGGCGGCAGCAGCGGCCGCGGCAGCCGGCGGCCGCGGGCCGGCGCCGCCCAACGGCGCCGCCGCGCCCGTCAGCAAGGACAAGGCTGCCGCAGTCAAGGTTCTCATTGATGGGCTGCAGCTGGCGGGCGGCACCGACGAGCGGGACCCTCCAGAGGTAGGCGGGTGTGGCGGGCTGAGCGGCTGAGCTGAGCGGGCGCCCCGCCTGTGGGAGGCCGCCGCTGCCGCTGCCGCTGCCGCGGTCGCCATGCGGCACACACCGCCCTTGGCTGCGCCCACCCCTCTCCCCGCAGGGCGTGATGCTGACGCCGCTGCTGCGCCACCAGCGAGTGGCGCTGGCCTGGATGTGCGGCCGCGAGGCGGGGCAGCACCCGCGGGGCGGCATACTGGCAGATGACCAGGTGTGTGTGTGCACTGTGTGTGTGTGCATGGGCGTGAGGTGTGTGGTGGTGGGCGGGGGCGGGGAGGCGTGTGGGAGCGAGCGCTGCGAACAGCCCGAGCCTCCATGCGCGGCTTGTTGCCGCCGGCAGCCTGCATCCCCGCACATGCTTGCTGGCGGAGTGGCTCAGCCAGCCAGGTATGGGTTGGGCTGCCGCCCGCCTCTCGTCTGTCCCCTGTCGGGCCTCTGCCACCCCACGCCTCCCGCCCTCTGCGTGCTGCCGCCGCGCAGGGCCTGGGCAAGACTGTGAGCACCATTGCGCTGATCGTCACCAACAGGCCGCTCCAGGCAGGGCAGGGCCAGCCCACACGCCCGGGCGCACCGCAGCAGCAGCAGCAGCAGCAGCAGCGGCAGCAGGCAGGGCGCAAGCGGCAGCGCCCAGGCGAGGGCGGGAGCACGCCGGGGCCCAGCGGCGGCAGCAGCCGGGCCAGCGGCAGTGGCGACCAGGGCGGCAGCGGCAGCAGCAGCGACGAATACCCCAGCAGCAGCGACGATGACGCGGAGGAGGAGGGCGGCGGCAGCCGCGGGCGCAGCCCCGCCGCGGCGGCCGCCAACGGCGGCGGCTCCGGCGCCGGCGGCAGCGGCGGCGCCGGCGGCGGCGCCGGCGGCGGCATCATTTACCTGGACGGGGCGTCGGAGGTGGAGGAGGAGGAGGAGGAGGGCGAGGGGCGGGTGCGCGGCGGCACGCTAGTGGTGTGCCCCACCACCGTGCTGCACCAGTGGGCGGCAGAGATACGCTCCAAGGTGCACCCTCACGCGGGCCTGTCGGTGCACGTCTACCACGGAAAGGGTGGGTGGCTGGCCGCCTGCCTGGCGCGTGGGTGTGGCGGCAAGCTGGTGGTGGAGCCTGCGGGGTGCCTGTCTGGCAGCCGTGCGGGCTGCCCCGTGTGTGGAGTGGCTGCGCGCCTCACCCAGCGCCGCCCCCGGTGCCCCCGCTGGCCCCGCTGAGCTGCATTGCAGGCAAGGCGGTGAGCGCCCGCTCGCTCAGCCACTACGGCGTGGTGCTGACCACCTACCAGACAATGGCGCTGGAGTCGCCGTGCAGGGAGGGCCCCGCCGGCGGCAGCAAGAAGCAGGCCTCGCCGGGCGCGGCGGACGCGGCGGCGGCGCCAGGTGGCGTGCCAGCTGGCGTGCCAGGTGGCGGAGCGGCCTGGGAGCAAGAGGTGGTGGACCTGCTGTCAGACTCAGAGGAGGACGAACAGCCGGCGGCAGCAGCGGCGGCAGCCCAGCAGCCGGCCACCAAGCGCCAGAAGGCGGCGGCGGGCAAGGCGGCGGCGGGGAGCGGCAGGGGCCAGGGCAGGGTCGGGCCGCTGTACGAAATCATGTGGCACA